GACGAGCCTCCGGGTGACTCCAGCCCCGGACCAGGCGGAGCGGAGAACAGCTGTGCCCTGTTTGGACTCCTGACCTTCAGAGTCCACGAGCGTAATGAAATGGGGCTGTTTTGTGCACTGCGTTGGGGCGGTGTTTGTTACGCAGCAAGCAGAAACCAGAGCAACCACAAAACCCTCAAGCACTCCTGCAGCGGGGCCTAGGAGGACGGGCGGGCGAAGCCAGAATCCTCTTCGCAGAGCGGGAGGGGCAGCCTGGAAACGTGCCCGTGCTAATGCTGTGTCCCGACAAATGTCAGCAGTCGCCACAGAGAGAGAAACTGAGGCTCGTCGGGGCCAGCCAGCACCCTAACTCTTTTCCTGAAGACCCAGAGTGGGCCAACGCAGGGCCCTGGGGCACACCGAAGGCAGGGACTCTGTCTGGGAGGGCGGAGAGACAGGGACCTGTGAACGAGGCATTTCTAGGTCAACCCCACCAGCCTGTAGTCGGTTAGGGTGGGGCAGGACCAACGGGACCCTGGTTCTGATTTCAGAACGACACCTTGGGGATTTGGGGGTGCTTAGCTCCGCCGTATCCACTGTCCCTTTATAATGCCCTCCTGGTTTTCTTTTAAGGCATTGCCATCTCTCCCCTGGATGTAGTCGGAGGAAGCTCTGTTTGGGCGCTTACCGGAGAGCGTATGAGCCAAGCTAAGCCAGACAGCCAGCCTTCCTTGGGATGGGAATCCGGCACAGGGACAAGGCTGGTGAAGCCATCCCCAGAATGGGCCCTCTGGGTTCTGTACCCCTCCTGCCCCAGGTGCTGTGGGAACTGGTTGCTAATGGCTTGTTGCTGGCCTGTGTCCTCAGCCTATGCCAGCCACCTCACCAAGAAAATGCCTGGGAGGTTCCTCCTCCCCAATCTCCTTGACCAATGACTGAATAGTATGCAAATTATGTATATGTGTAAGGGCCCTGGCCGATGTTGCTCAGTGGGTTGAGCATTTTTCCATTCACTGAAAGGTCACCGGTTCAATTCCCAATCAGGACACATACCTAGGTTGTGGGTGTGATCCCTGGTGGGGTGTGTGAAGGAGGCAATCCATTGATGTTTCTCTCTCTCTCTCTCTCTCTCTCTCTCTCTCTCTCTCTCTCTCTCCTCTCTCTCTTTCTCCCTCTCTCTTCCTTTCTCTCTCTCAAAAAAAAAAAATTAAATGAAAACATATTTTTTAAAAATTGACCCTTTTGCTTCATCGTAGGACAACTCTGTGGTGCCACTCACACTCGGAGCTCTGGGGGACCAGGCTGAGGCTAGACTCCAGTTGAAACCCCATCTTTACGTGGCTTCTCTCCTCGTCCAGCCTACTCCCCTCACTCCGAGAGCCTCCCTCAGGAAGGTACAAGAGTTCCCATCTCAGGCCCTGCTCCTGGGGGATCTGACACACCATTTCGTGACACTTTATGGGTTCCTGTTTCGTGGCCCTCAAGAACTATAGCTTCCAAGCCTGGCTCTGGACTCTTCCCTTAAATCGTGAGCTCTCAGTAGCCACTAGTAAATTCCTTCTGCTCAAATCATCCAAAACAGCACGGGCCCAGCAGCAGAGGCGGGAGACAGGGAGCTGATGTTCATCTTCCGGTTTGGACCCGGGTCCCATGGCAGGCGGGGATGAGGCTGAGTTGTTGCAGCCACGTGCCTTCCGAGGGCCGGACGCTGGCAGACTCAGGGGCTTAATGCCTAAGACCCAGACAAGCAGGCCCTGCCCTTGCCTTAGAGGCCTGCTCTGGCCCTCCTTGGGGTGAAGCCAGGAGAGAGAGAGAGAGAGTCATCAACTTGTGGGTTCATTGGTTGATTTTGTTTGTGCCCTGACAGGGTTGAACCCACAACCTTGGCAAACTGCAATCTTGGGGTATGGGAACGATGCTCTCTAACAAACTGACCTACCCAGGCAGGGCCCAGAGGATTTAAAAAAAAAAAAAAAAAAAAAAAATATATATATATATATATATATATATATATATATATATATATATATATATAAATATATATATATATATATATATATATATATATATATATAATTGATTTTTTATAGAGAGGAAGAGAGAAGGATAGAGAGTTAGAAACATTGATGAGAGAGAAACATCGACTAGCTGCCTCTTGCACACCCTCCACTGGGGATGTACCTGCAACCAAGGTACATGCCCTTGACAGGAATCGAACCTGGGACCTTTCAGTCCTCAGGCCGATGCTCTATCCATTGAGCCAATGCGGTTCCAGCCCCAGAGGATTTTTCTAAATTGAATCCAGGAGCATCTATAATATTAGATACCAGTTCCAAATACGCCTTCTCACTGGAGAAAATCCGGGCTTCTCTGCAACTACTGACCTCAGGGGGACGTGTTTTTCTTTTCTCCATCAGGAGATACAGAATACCCAGCTGTCAAAGAGAGGGGAGTGGAGTTGTAATAATAATGAGTAGTGAGGGGCCTTGAAAACAAGGTGAAGGCCCGGTTGGGGTAGCGCAGAGATTGAGCATCGATTCCCAGTCAGGGCACATGCCCAGGTTGCAGGCTCATGCCCCAGTGTTAGCACCCAGCACCTAGGAAGTGGAGAAAAGAAGGGATACAGGCCTGAGCCTGGGGTGCTCGGACATTAGAAGCCAAGGTTAAAGAGGAAGAGCCAGAAAAGGAGACTGACAGTGAACATCCAGCGCGGTGGAAGGAAAACCAAGACAGCGTGGCATCCGGGGAGCCCAGGAAGCATATTTTTGAAGAGGACAGTGCTCCCCCCCGTAGATGCCGCGCTCGGGGATTACGGGAAATGAGAACGTAGACGTGGCCGCCGAATTGCGCAAGATGGAGGTAGCTTATCATCTTGATCACGGCGTTTCCGTGGGTTGGTCTGGGCAGAAGCCTGAGTGGAGGGAGTTGAGAAGGAAGTGCTGATGTGTACAATCAGCAGCTGGACCACAGCGGGAAGCCAGGCGGTCCCTGACTCCGGGAGACGCAGTAAGTTGTTCAGCGATGGAAAGGTCATCGTCATAAGCCACCGGCTCAGCGTGGAGGGCGCGTTTGCAGTCTAGCTCATGGAGGAAGGTGAGGAAGAGGCGTCTTGGTGAAGGTGGGGCGGAGGAGAGGGGGTGGGGTACCCAGAGGGTCCTGGTGGCAGGTGAGGAGACGTATCTGCAGTGCAGCCAGCAGAGTGACGAGACTTTCCCCAGCCCATGCCGCCCCAAGAAGGCAGGACTGGGAGTAGCAGGCCCTCTGACGTCTGTGTGGAGGTGGCGTTTGGGTTCCTCGGGGGTTCTGGTGGGGCCAGGCTTAGAATGATGATGCTGGTAGACAAGGCTGGTCTGCCCCGGGGCCTGAGCCCTTGAGTTAGTGGTGAGTTAGAAGGTGACTCAGACCTCAGGGCGGAGAGGGAGGGATGCGGGGCGTAGCCCCACAGCTGGCCCCGCGGGCCCCTGGCCTCCTCCCTGGCCGGCCCCCATTGCACAGTCTCAGGAAGACCGCAGTGCACACCAAGCTTCCTTCCGGTCAGGATGGAGTGAGGCTGCTCCTCCTGGGTTCATCCCGGGAGATCCCTGCTCTGACATAAGCTTGTCGCTGTTAATAAGAATAATGGCGTTAGTAATAAGTACTCCTCCTCATTAACTTCACCCTGGCGAGCACTTTCTGAAGCTCTCACTGCAGCCTAGGAGGTGGGCGTCAGTCTCCCTGCTTCACACGGGACGGAAGTGAGGCACAGAGGGGACACGTGGCCTGGCCACGTCATGTTTCCGGCAGCAGCAGCGGCCAGGTGGGACCCCAGCGTCCTCACAGCCCCTCAGGGCCGTTCCCGAAAAGGTGGACACCAGGTTCTGAGGGTCGGAGCCCCCTTCCTGGGACACTGGACCCTTCATAGCACTTTGTGGGGAGGAGGCTGCCCTGTCTCTCCCCCCTCCCCCCTTCTAGAAGCTTCCTTGCAGGACCCCGGAGAGGAGGCCAAGAGCCTGGGGGCTGGAAGAGCTGGGGCCACAGGGAGAGCCTGGTGCCCCGGGCAGAGGGAGGCTGAGTCTCTTTAACCCATCGGCCTGGGCTCCTTCCGCAGGCTGGGCCTCTGGCTGTGCCTGCTCCCTTCCTTCACCCACAGCCCCGACGCCCTCGCCCTCGGCCCAGTCTTGAGATGGCACCTGCCCTGTCCCCGGGAACGAGTGTCCGGGTGGGGTGGGCATCGGGGCAGGCTGGCTGCCAGGGTCCATGGGCCGAACTTCGCTGGGTTCCCAACCCCCAAGTTCCTGTTGGGAGGGAGAGATGGGGACGTGCTGAGACGTTGCCCCTGGCCCGGGTCTCTGAGGCCCTGCCCCCGGCTCTGGGAGTGTGCACGGGGTAGGAGCACCCCGAATTCCCCGGAGCCCGCCTGCCCGCCCTGTGGGAACGGCCCCTGCTTCCTGGCCCCTTCCCGTGGGGGCCGCCTGCCTCACAGGCTGCAGGCAGAGGCTCCTTTCCCGGAGCCCCGGCACAGCCCCTCCAGGCCGCCTGCAGTGCCAGCTGGTCTGCCACTCGTCCCCTCACTGGGTCATCCCTCCAAAGGGGTCCTGCAGGCCGGCGGCCTCTCCCCGCCATCCTGGGCCCGCCAGGAGCCCCGTGAGCCCCCTAACCCCCCGTCAGGAGACGGATGGGGAACACGCACCCCGAGAAAGCTTAGAGACACCCCCCAAGTGACCTTCACGTGTCCTTCTTCCCAGCCCCTGGAGCTGCAATCACAGCCACAGCAGCTCCCGCCTCCCCGTGGCCACCCCTCGCCGGGGACAGTCAGGAGCCCCCCCCCCCCCCGGCCCCCGCACAGCGCAGCCCACGTGCGCCCCCAGGGGCCTGAGTCACCGCCGCCGGCTGGGGACGGGCCGTGGGCTCCTGGGGAGCCACCGGGAGGGGGCGGCGGCCGCGTCACCCCGGAGGAAGCACCTGCAGCCATAAATAGGCGGCCGCGGAGGCAGACGGCACAGCCTGCCGAGAGCACCCCACGCTGTGCCACCTGCGCCAGGATGCCCGACGCCCTGCTGCCCGCCTGCCTCCTCGGCCTGCTGGCCGTCACCTCTGCCTGCTACTTCCAGAACTGCCCGCGGGGCGGCAAGAGGGCCATGTCCGACCTGGAGCTGAGACAGGTATGACGGGGCTGGGGGAGAGGGATGCCGTGGGCTGTGGGGTCCGGACGAGTGCCTGGCAGGAGCGAGGCCAGGAGCGGGTGCAGAGGGGACCAGACGCGGCAGGCTGGGTCGGGCTGCAGGGCTCCCTGGACAGTCCCCATCCCCAGGCGGATGGAGGAGAGCGGTTCCCGCGGTGACTGGGCTGGGCTGGGGCAGGGAGAACGGGCAGGAAGGCCTCCTGTGTGCCCTGGGCCTCTCTCCCCATTGCTCACACCCAGCATCTGAGGCCTCCCACCCAGCCCAGCCTCCCCGACACAGGCCCGGCCTCCACACCGTCAGGAGCTTCCGGGTGCTGGGTGGGCACCCGCCCGCACCCTGTGAGTTCTGCCCACTTCTCTCCTGCATGTCCCTCCGTCCCTCCTGCTCCGCTGCCCCTGGAGCTGGTGGAAGCCCAGGCTCCCGGCTCGCGGCCCTGCCCAGGCCACAGGCGGCCGGTCCCGAGCTGCTGACCCAGTAGCGGGCAGCTGGGCAGACAGACTTCCTCCCTCTGCTCTGCTCGGCCTTCGGGCCTGACTGACCCGGAGCCTCGGGCCTCCTCTAGGGCTCAGGACTCTGCCCCTGGTTAGTGACAGGCAGGCGAGCAGAGGCCCCAGCTTTGTGGGGAGGGCAGGGGAAGAGGGTGACGGGTGAGAGAGTGAGGGCCCCCCCCTCCTGGCCAGGCCAGAGAGGGGACAGGAAACAGAAGGGGGTGGGGGGTGGGGACTGGGATGGTGCTAGAGTCAAGCGTGAGTAATAGGAGGAGAGGGCTGGGTTAGGGGTACAGCGGTGGGCTCGCCCCGGTGCTGTAGCCCTAGGAGACCCCTGCGGGGAGGTCTCTCTCTCTCTCTCTCTCTCTCTCTCTCTCTCTGAGGGGGAGGGAGAGGATGCTGAGAGCTTCACAGGGGGAATGGAGGCACCTGTAACAGAGGGAGGTTGGTGGATGTTGGCTTCCCTCCTGGGTCCCTTTTGGGGCCAAAGCAGCAACCTGGGGTCCTTGAGCTCCCCCCCCCCCGCCCCCGGCCTTGGCCTTCACCCCCAGGCCTTGCTCACCCTGCCTTCTCCCCCCCACCCCCCACCCCCAGTGCCTGCCCTGCGGCCCCGGGGGCAAAGGGCGCTGCTTCGGGCCCAGCATCTGCTGCGGGGACGAGCTGGGCTGCTTCCTGGGCACGGCCGAGGCGCTGCGCTGCCAGGAGGAGACCTACCTGCCGTCGCCCTGCCAGTCCGGCCGCAGGCCCTGCGGGAGCGGCGGGCGCTGCGCCGCCGACGGCCTCTGCTGCGACGAAGGTGCGGGGCGGGCAAGTGGAGAGGGGCGGGGGTTGAGGGGACCTGGGGGCGCGGGGAGGGCAGGGAGGGGTCTGGGGACCTGGGGGCGGCCTCCGATCGGCGCGCTGAGCCCTGTCCCTGGCCCCGCAGAGAGCTGCGTGCCGGAGCCCGAGTGCCGGGAGGGCCTCCCGCGCCGCGCCCGCGCCCACGAGCGGAGCAACGGGACGCAGCTGGACGGGGCGGGGGCGCTGCTGCTGCGGCTGGTGCAGCTGGCGGGCGCCCCCGAGCCCGCCCCCGGCGGCTACTGAGCCCCCTCCGCCCCCTCCGAGCGCGAAATAAACCTTTTACAATGCACCGGCTGCTGTCTGTCTGTCTGTCCGTCCGTCTATCTGGGGGTCGGGGGTGGGGAGTGGGGGGAGCTTCCCGGACCCAAGACACAGGCAGAATCCCCCAGCGGAGAGCCTGCCCTCAAAGGTGCCGCGGGAACAAGGACAGGCGCCTGGGCGGGAGGGGAAAGAGGGCCAAGGCAGGGAGGGGTCTTAGGGCCGAGGGGTGGGAACAAAGGGATAAGCGTCGGGGGAAGATGTGGACACCACGTGAGAGAGAGACAGAGGGACAGAGACAGAGAGTGACGGGAGAAGAAGAGAATGATGGGAGAAGAGAAAGGCGGGAGGGGCCAGCCAAGAAGCCAGCGGGGGTTCGGTCCCCATTGACTCCCCGGAGGCTGAGGGACCAGCAGCTCCAGGGACCCATCCTGGGCCCCAGGTCTCCGACACCCAAGCTGTGGGGTGCGTGCATGGGTGTGTGTGTGTGTGTGTGTGTGTGTGTGTGTGTGTGTGTGCAGGTGGGTGAGGGCGGGGGATGGGACCAGCATGCCCAGACCCAGAGAGAGGCCACAGGAAAGGGCACCCCATCTGGCTCTCAGCCAGCCTGAGTGAGTGACAGGCGTCCCCAGACCCTGGCCGCATGCTCCCGGGCACAGCTGTGCCCACCACGCTCCCTCCGACACAGACAGGAAAAGCATGGTGAGGGCGTGCCCCGGTTTCCTGCCACAGTCACAGACACAGTCCGGGGTACACCTTCAGAAGCACAGTCACACTCAGGAACAGACACAGCAGACCTGAGGACAGGCAGGCCCCTGCACGCGCGCGCACACACACACACACACACACACACACTTGCCACCCTCTGACACATGCCACTTCAGGGCAAAGATGTCCACTAACAGGCCAACCCTGTTCTCTGTCCCACGTCCTCCTTGTGCCCTTTGCCCATTTATCCCCTTTCCCCTCACTCCCCCCCCCCCCCCCCCCGCCCAACTCTAGGGCCTTCTCTCCTTGTCCCCCTACACCCCTCCCGTTCTCTTCTGCCCTCTACCCCTCTGTTACCCCTACCCTCCTTTCTCTACCAGCCTGTTCTCGGCAGCTTCTCCCTGGGGTGTCTGGCTCCAGGGCTTGGAGGCCACGTGGAGCCCAGGCTGAGAAAAGCCCCTCTGAGCCCTGACCCCAACAACCAGCCTGGGGCACGGCCCCGTGGCAGCCTCAGCCGGCCCTGAGCAGGGGAAGCCAAGGTCACGCTCTCTGGCTCAGAGATCTGCTCTGCCGTCACCCCTGCCCAGGCACGGTCAGGAGGGCTTCTGTCCCTAATCAGCCAGGGCTGAGGGAGTCTCGCTCCTTGTCCGTGGTCTTGATCTCCAGGAAGCCTAAGCTGCAGGGTCAGCGGCATTGACAGTGTGACATAAAAATAAGTCACAGCAGGAGGTGCTCACTGGTGTAGCCAACACTTCTTTCCTCAGACTGGAATGCTCTGTCCTGCGGCTTCACTCTCCTGTGTGGAGCTCACCTGTGTGGCCCACAGTCCTCTGGGTGCACACATAGGCATTTTCACTTTATAAATTAGTGATATTTCACAGTCCATATGTACTTATTTGCACCATTTAAAAAAATATGTTTTGCCAAAACCGGTTTGGCTCAGTGGATAGAGCGTCGGCTTGGGGACTGAAGGGTCCTGGGTTCGATTTTGGTCAAGAGCATGTACCTTGGTTGCAGGCGTATCCCCAGTAGGGGGCGTGCAAGAGGCAGATGATCGATGACTCTCTCATCGATGTTTCTAACTCTCTATCTCTCTCCTTTCCTCTCTATAAAAAAATCAATAAAATATATATTTTTAAAAATATACGTTTTGCCCAAACCGGTTTGGCTCAGTGGATAGAGCATCGGCCTGCGGACTGAAGGGTCCCAGGTTCGATTCTGGTCAAGGGCATGTACATTGGTTGCGGGCACATCCCCAGTAGGGGGTGTGCAAGAGGCAGCTGGTCGATGTTTCTCATCGACGTTTCTAGCTCTCTCTCCCTCTCTCTTCTTCTCTGTAAGAAAAATCAATAAAATATATAAAAAATTAAAAATTAAAAAATATGTTTTATTAATTTTTCACAGAGAGGAAGGGAGAGAGATAGAGAGTTAGAGACATCGATGAGAGAGAATCATCTGCCTCCTGCAGATGATTGGGGATGTGCCCACAGCCCAGGTATATGTCCTTGACCGGAATCGAACTTGGGACCCTAGAGTCTACAGGCCAACGCTATATCCACTGAACCAAACTGGTTAGGGCGGCACCATTTTAAAAAAAAGTAAATTTGGGGCAGCTTTCTGTGGGGGCCCGATATGGCGGGGATCTCCCTTTTCTGCATCCCGCACAGAAAGAGAGATGAACGAACGGGTTCTAAGTGGAGGCGGCCAGGGATTGAGAAATATTAGAAATAAAGAGAGATGCTGAGACCGGTTTAGTCAATGGATAGAGCGTTGGCTTGGGGACTGAAGGGTCCCGGTCAAGGGCATGTACCTTAGTTTCGGGCACATCCCCAGAAGGGGGTGTGCAAGAGGCAGCTGATCGGTGACTCTCATCGATGTTTCTAACTCTCTCTCTCTCTCCCTTCCTCTCTGTACAAAATCAATAAAATATATTTTTTAAAAAAAAGAGAGAGAAAAGAAATAAAGAGAGAAGACACAGAGATAGATTTTAAGCTGGGAGCTGGGTAGGCCGACATTCTGTCTGTTGGAGAGACAGGAAGAAGATGATGACAATGATGATGATGACCCCTCCCAGCGCATTTATTTTATACCCCCAATACCAGGAAGCAACACCGAAACTTAGGATCAAAGTAGCTTATTTGCATTTTTAAAAATATATTTTATTGATTTTTTACAGAGAGGAAGGGAGAAGGACAGAAAGCTAGAAACATCGACCAGCACAACCAATGTACATGCCCTTGACCGGAATCGAACTTGGGACCCTTCAGTCTGCAGACCAACGCTCTATCCACTGAGCCAAACCGGTTTCATCTTTATTTGCATTCTTAAGTAGGCCCTATCATTCCTGTTGCTTGTCTGGATTTACATATCTAGTCCCGCCCCTGCTGACTCTGGGCTGATCTGAAGGCCAAGCTGACAACATATCCGCCATCTTGGGGAAACATGTTCCCAAGGCATGGCTCAGCCTACATCCTGAGTCCCGCTGACGGTCATTAAGGAAAATTGCCCATGTGCCTTCCCAGGTGGCCTCTACAGCTTTTCATATCAGAACATTTACCTCTGCCACCATCTTTTGGTTTTGGAGGTTTTTATGATGAGAAATTTCAAATAGCCTAAAACTAGGACTACTTAGACCAAAACCCTGCAGGCACTCACCACCCTCAGTGATGACAATTATCATCCTGGGGTGGCTTGTTTCATCTCTACCTTCCCTCTCCTGGCCCCTGAAGTCAAGGCCAACTGTCATACCATTTCCTCTACAAACCTTCCAGGGCACATCTCAGAGATATATGGACTGTTCCGATAGCCGTGACCACAGACTGTGACCACAGACTGTTCTCACACACATGCAAACCCCAAACCAAACCCCGACCACATCTCACCACAGGCATACCTCAGAGACATGGCCCCACAGGAAAGTGAACGCGGCAATAACGTGAGTTGTCATCTCTTTTCTAGTGGAGCGTCCTGCCTTCAATTTGTAAAACATGCGACATCTGTGAAGCAGAATAAAGTGAAGCAATAGAACGAGGTGTATCATCCGTGTTCAGGCGTCATTCACACCCCGCAGGCACCACAGAGAATGCCCCTTCCGCACTCTTGTTTTCCGGACCCTCCTGCACAGAGCGGCCTCCTGTCTTCTTCCTGTGCTCCTTACCAGCAGGTGTCACCAGGCGACTGTGCGGCGTGTATGTCACCTGGAGTGATTTTGCGTGTTTAGTTGCATATTAAAATAATCATATTTAGTAATATGTTATTCTCCTTTTCTCTATGTTGCTGCCAGAACTAATCTTACATATTTTTTTGAAATTGAGTGCAGGTAGGCATATTATCTAGGAATTTCTTTTTTTTTTAATATATTTTATTGATTTTTTACAGAGAGGAAGGGAGAGAGATAGAGAGCTAGAAACATCGATGAGAGAGAGACATTGACCAGCTGCTTCTTGCACACCCCCTACCGGGGATGTGCCCGCAACCAGTGTACATGCCCTTGACCGGAATCAAACCTGGGACCTTTCAGTCCGCAGACCGACGCTCTACCACTGAGCCAAACCTTCGGCTATCTAGGAATTTCACTGCTAGGTAGCAAGGTGGGTTCACAGAGTACTCGTGAGACAAAGGGAGAGTTGGAAGCCACTGTCCTGACAAGCGCCAAGCGCTTCCGTCACCCCAAGGAGGGCCAGAGGCCCAGGACTGAGCCAGGAAGAAGCGGGAAGAATGACAGCAGCTCGCTCTGCGCCCGTCTGTCTGGCCCCTGGACAACTTCGCGTGGCCTGGGTCCCCTCAGCTCCTCTCCCCGCTCACCCACGGGACCTCGCTTGATGTCCTCAGAAAAAGGGTTGTTAATCAGACTCTGTTTTTTTGTTTATTTTTTTTTATTGATTTCAGAGAGGAAGGGAGAAGGAGATAGAAACATTAATGATAAGAGAGACTCATTGATCAGCTGCCTCCTGCAGGACCCTCTACTGGGGAACGAGCATGTAACCCAGGCATATGCCCTGACCGGGAATTGAACCATGGCCTCCTGAGTCATAGGTCGATGCTCAACCACTGAGCCACGCCGACTGGGCCAGACTCTATGTTTTATTTTTATTGACTTCAGCGAGGAAGGGAGAGGGAGGGAGAGAAAGAGAAACATCAATGATGAGAGAATCATGAATCGGCTGCCTCCTGCATGACCTCTACTGGAGATCAAGCCCGCAACCTGGGTTTGTGTCTTTGACTGAATTGAACCTGGGACTCTTCAGTCCACAGGCCGATGCTCTACCACTGAGCTAAACCGTCCAGGGCCAGACTCTGTTTTATGATGGTGGAAAAGAAAATACTGCTGGCCTTTGGATTTAGGGAAAGAAAGGGACAGTGGATGGAATGTTGGAAGGAGGGGAACCTGAATTCAGTCCCAAGGTGAGAAAGCTCGACTGATTCTCCTCTTCTGTGTAAGCCCCTGGGGGTGGAGCAGATGCAGGGCACTTAGGCTGAGACAGAGGTCCCTGGGGGGCGACTCCGAATTCCCGCTGATGCAGTGGGTGGACACCCAAGCTTGCCAAGCACAAACCCATGACCCCAGCTCTCCAGCTGAGGAGCGTGGTCCCCTGTGCGGTGTCTGAGGGGCCACAGAATTCGTACGACTTTCCTCAGACATCAGTTTGCGTGAGTCACGCACTTCCCCTTGGGGGCTTTGTCAGGACTCTGCTTTGTCACCTCCTGATCCTTTCCTAATAACCCCTGACTACTGCCCAATGCGGGGGTCCTGGGAAGGACCCCTCTCACAGCCCCAGCAAGAACCCCAGTCTAGATGGCTGTTGGTCACTGGGCCTTCCATTTCTATTATCTTCAAACCCTCAGCAATGACCTTTTTCTCACTTTTGAAAGCGTATATTCCGGTGTAGCACATACGCAAACGTGAACAATGCACACGTGTGCAGCTGACGGGTTCCATAAACGGAGCACACCCCGTTCACCAGCTCCGGCCCAGAGGCAGACCACGGCTGCCCCCAGAGGAGCCCCCACGTTCCCATCACCGACCCTCCACGACCTCTGGCTCCATGGCTTAGCGCTGCCTCTTTTTGTGATTTATATGAAGAAATTCTTCCAGGCCTCGGTAGTACCGTGTTTCCCCAAAAATAAGACATCCTCCGAAAATAAGACATCCTCCGAAAATAAGACCTACTTTCAGGTTTCCTTCTGAGTGAAATATAAGGCATCCCCCCCAAAAATAAGGCCCTCCCCCTAGGCTAAACATGAGAGATTTGGTCCACTGATTCTGAAAGAAATGGAGTCACAAAAATTCACCAGGAAATTCAGGAATTGGATTGTTATGATGATGTTCCAGAAGATGATGACATGATTGTCATTCAATAAATGAGTAAATTCTTGGTACTGTAGGATTCACAATTTGTCTGGTTTGTGTTGACAACTACCGTACTACCGTACCGTATACAGGTAATAAATTTCCTTTATTTTCATTTAACAATAAATGTGTACTGTATTCTTCTTCATGAAAAAATAAGACATCCCCTGAAAATAAGACCTAGTGCATCTTTGGAAGCAAAAATTAATATAAGGCACTGTCTTATTTTTGGGAAAACAGGGTATTTTTTTCTCTTCCCACTGTCTGTGAGATCCACATAGTTAGGTGTGTGTGTGTGTGTGTGTGTGTGTGTGTGTGTGGAGGGGGGTGCAGTATTCCAGTGTGAGAAAGCCACAGATGTAACTTTAAAATATTTTTTTTATTGATTTCGGAGAGGAAGGGAGAGGGAGAAAGAGAAACACTCAATAATGAGAGAGAATCACTGATTGGCTGCCTCCTGCATGTCCCACGCTGGGGATCAAGCCTGTAACCAGGCATGTGCCCTGATCAGGATCTGAACCAAGTTCATAGGTCGACACTCAACCACTGATCCACAGGAGTTACTTGTGCAGGGCAAGTAACTTTTATTTTATTTTATTTTATTTCTTAATCACTAACAGATGAGCTGTGCCCCGTCTTGTGTGGAATGGCTGGCCCAGCGGAGGTGAGTGAAGGGGTGTGCTCTGGGGAGGATTAGGCTTTTATGGATTCCCAATAATCGATGAGAAGAGTCAAGAGTCATTTCTGTGGCCGTGCGTTCCCAGGAACCCTTGTTTTGCAGGGTCCCAGCTTGGCCACATCCGAGCACCAGGGGCTCCTGTGGCCGGGGCCTGCCCTCAGCGCCTTGGGAACCGGCCTTCAGCTGCGGAGGCCGGAGGGCCCTGCGCGGCCCCGTTAGGTGTCAGAAGTTTCACCTCCACCGGCCCGGCCCCGCGTTAGGCCCTCTCCCCGCGGCGCGCACAGACCCGGCCCTCCCGAGCAGCGGCCCTCCTCTCCCCGCTGCCCCCGCTGCCCGGCTCCAGCGCCGCAGACCCAGCCCTGCCCCCTCCTCCGCCCCGGGCCCTCCCGGGGCTGACACAGACGCCAGGCGAGTTAGAGGGGAAGGTGCGTTAGTTTATTGTCATTATTTCGGGGTGGCTGTGCAGGGCGGAGGGCTGCGCCAGGTCCGGGGCGCGATGGGCTCCGCGCTGGGCGGCGGCCTAGGGGTCGCAGGCGGGGTCGGTGCGGCAGCCGTCTGCGAGGAGAGACGCCGGTCAGGGCTGTCCCGTCCCGTCCCCATCCCGGTCCCCGGCCCCGTCCCCATCCCCGATCCCATCCCCGGCCCCATCCCCGGCCCCATTCCCGTCCCCATCCCCGTCCCCATCCCCGTCCCCATCCCCGTCCCCATCCCCGGCCCCATCCCCGGCCCCGGCCCCGGCCCCGCCGCCGCTCACCGGGGCTGCAGCAGAGGCCGTCGGCGGCGCAGCGGCCCTCGTCCCCGCAGGGCCTGTGGCCGGACTGGCAGGGCGACGGCAGGTAGGTCTCCTCCTGGCAGCGCAGCGCCTCGGCCGTGCCCAGGAAGCAGCCCAGCTCGTCCCCGCAGCAGATGCTGGGCCCGAAGCAGTGGCCCTTGTCCCCGGGGCCGCAGGGCAGGCACTGGGGGGGGGGGGGTGAGAGGCTGAGCGGGGTGGGGGGGGGTAGGAGTTGGGGAGGGGTGCCCTGTGGGTGCGGAAGGCCGGACGGACGGAAGGGGCGCCCGGAGCTCGGTCCGCGGCGGGAGGCGGAGGGAGCGCTCACCTTGCGCACGTCCAGGTCCAGGTCCAGGGCGGCCCGCTTGCCGCCCACGGGGCAGTTGGTGATGTAGCAGCCGGAGGTCAGCGCCAGGAGGCCGAGCAGGCAGCAGGCGAGGCTGGGGGCCGTCATTGTGTGGCTGGGGTCCGACGTCCTCGGCTGTGGCCGGCTCTCCGGTCCAGTCCTTTTATGCCCGGGCCCCGCCGGCCTAAGAGGGCTGGCGGATGCCTGGGCACGGCCGGCCGGCCGCCCGGGTCAGGCCCTGCGCGCCCTCATCTGCAGGGGTCGGCTGGTCCAGGTCACTGTGTTGGCTGCAGCCATGTGTGCGGGGGGAAGGGGGGTGGTGGCAAGGAAGCCTGTGGGGTGGCCTGGGTCCAGCCAGGGGTTATGCAGCTGGACTCCCCATACCCCGGGGGTGGGGGAGGCACAGGAGGGCACTGGACGCCTCCAGGATGGAAGAAGCTGTGGCAGATCGGGCAGGCCTCCCCCACCGCCCTCTACCCCTGCCACAGGCATCCTGTCCCCCTGTTAGGGAGGTCTCTTCCTGAACCCACATTTCTTGGAGCTCACACCCCCACTCCCACACCAACATCCGCTTCCCCACCTGGAACTTGCATGGGAAAGGCCTTTATTTTTCTCTGACCTCTCACTGAAACGCAGCTTTCCCTTCCCCTGTGAGGGAGGAGCAGTCTGCAGGGGAATGTGCAATACCTGGGGCTTCGTCAAAGCCAGAAAGGACAGGTTTCCCCCGTCACATCCCAGCTGCTGCAAAGCTCTCTGCGCAGCGTCCAGACCACCACCCGTTTGTAGTTGGGCAGTTCCTGGACCTGCTGCAGATCACTTACCTAAGGCTTTAAGCAAACAAGCTGCCACTGTCACAGGTGGTTGTAACATTTGACACCTGGATGTAAATCCAGTCGGTTTCCTTTGTCTTTGTGTCATGCACTTAAAATCAGTGCTTTTTTTGGGTGTAGCATTTTAAACATATCTCAAATGAAATAATTGCACATAAAAGACAGACAGATGCCTCAGCGAAGGGCTGTGGGTCAGTGAACAAGGAGATGAGCAGCACAGATTCTCTTCAAGACGGGACGAGTCACCGAGCTGGTGGCAGCCGGTGGGCAGAACGGCCTTTGGTCCAGGCTCACGGGCACACCTGCCCCAGGTGCCCACGGCCAGTGACTGGTCCATGCGGACACGGTGCTGGGCACCTCGGAAGGACTATTCATTCCGGACAGCCCTGTGGAGCTCGTTCCCCGAGGCCAGCCCAGAGGTCTCTCTGCCCCGTCCTGGGTCCACCCTCCCTCCCACAGAGGTGGGCTCCTGTGATAAACATCCAGCCCATTCAAGCCCATCTCAGGCTGCTCCCTGGGGAACCCACTTTGCAAAGGCGGGGACGGAATGAGTCCAGTGTCAGAAAGGACAGACTCAACAGCACCAATCCCTTGAGGTCAACCCAGGGGAGAGGAGACGGGGGGGGGGGGGGGGGGGCGGAAGAGATGGGAACAGCCAGTCCTGCACTCTTGTTTGCTCTCCCAGAGGAGGGTGCTGAGGCCATCGGGGCACGGAGCCTGCTGACCCCCAGCCGCTGGGGTGGGCTCTCCAGCTCCTCAGAGCTGGTTAGGCCACCCGGGAGGACCAGTCAGAGGCCGGCCTTGTCTCTCAGCCAAACCAGCTCATTGGCATTGCTGGACGGAAAGGCCAAGCGATTGACCCTGGAGGCGGCCCAGAAAGCCTCCCAAACACTGTGTGAGCACACTGACCTCGCCGGGTTACCACATGCGCATAAATTACTGTAGCTAACGGCCCACAGCCCCACATCCCTTTATCTGTTCAACGTGCTCATCTGAAGATACACTGGGTCCCAGCCCAGAGGCTTGGAAACACCGGGGCACCAGGGGCTTATGTTCTGGGTGTGTGTGTGTGTGTGTGTGTGTGTGTGTGTGGGTGTGGGTGGAGGTAGAGAGGGGATGGGAGGGTGATGTGAAACAATACTCCTATTTCGGCAGGTTAGGGGGCAGCGTGTGCTATGGAGAAAAGGGTGGGGCGTGCCTCAGTTTCCCTCAGGGGGCTCAGTGTAGGCCGGTGAAGGTGGCACCTGCCCCTTGGAGGAGGGAGGGAGGAAGCCACGAGGATATCCGAGGGCAGACTCATTTCCTGTTGCTGTGTAACAATCCGCACAAACTGAGCAGATGGGTACCCTCTTACTCTCACCAGCGTCTGTGGGTCTGGGCCAGGCCTCGCGGCCCTTTGCTCAGGGTCTCAGGGGACGTGGCCAGGCTGCCGGAGGTTGTTGCAGGATTCACTTCCCTGTGGCTGCCGAAGGGATGTGGCTTCCTGAGGCCGGCAGCAGGCAGGCTCGGTGCTTCGAGTTCCTGAGCGCGGGGACTGCCATCCTGTTAGCTCAGTCACGGGGATTAATTTGGACAGTTGGGGCCTTAATTACATCTGCCAAATCCCCTCCCGTTATCACGTCTTGTAGGATAATCATGGGAGTTGTACCCATTAGTTTTGCCTGCTACGGAAGTAACAGGCCCTGTTTACATGCCACAGGAGGCCACAGGAAGGTGTGGATGCCCAGGGCAGGAGCCACAGGGGTCATGCTAAAGCTCTGCCTGCCGCGGAGGGGTATTCCAGCCAGAGGAAGCAGCAGTGCCGACGGGGGAGTCTGTCTGGCGTATTCACGAAACTGTAAGCCCCACCCGGCTGGAGTGGAGTGACCCGAGGTCAGAATGGTCAGCGAGACGGGGTCACAGACGGCCGATGGAAATGGGGAAGCAGAGCAGGGTCTGAGCGGAGGAGCGACCTAATTGGGTTTGCATGCTCTAAGGCAACTGTGGGTACTGTGTTGTGAAGAGACTCTGGGGGAAGTGGAGGTCGGGAAGCAGGGAGGAGGCTCCTGTAGAGCCCTGTGTGTGAGGACGGGGGGAAGGGGGGGAGAAGTGACCCCATTCTTTGGAAGAACGTTTGGGGTTTGTTGACAGGTTGGATATGGGCAGGAGAGAAGAAGAGGAGTCAAAGATGGCTCCGAGGCTTGGGGCCTGAGCAGTGGGATCGATGGAGCTGCCATCAGCTGGGATGGGCACCCTGAGGGTGGCCCAGGTCTGGGCTGGGAAGGGCAGAGCTCAGTGAGGACATGCAGACATCTGAGGTGACCTCACCCCCCCAAAGGAGACTTGGAGTTTGCATTTGGGTAGTTCAGGCAAGAGGCTCGGCTGAGGATGCATTGATCTGGAGTCGCTGAAAGGCCCAGGCCAGAGTGAGAACACTGAGGAGGGGGCGATGGGAAGAGGACCACGGGCGGAACTCTGAGGAAGGTCAGAAAAGAGGAGCAGGGCGTGAAGACGGGAGGAGGAAGGGACCAGCTGTGCCAAGTGCTGTGGGCGTGAAAGTGAAACCTCTCTATTGAAACCATTTCGATCAGGCAGAATCTCCTCACCATGCCCTCTGCCCGTTGTCAGTGTGCACTGCGATGGTTTTCAGTGAGCAGTTGGACTGAGAACACTGCCAGCTCCAAAGACGGCCCCTCACGCCGTGGGCCATGGCTCTGCTCCAGCCCCGGAAGACACTGACGTGGGCGCCCCTTTTCCAGCGCCACGAGCCCGCGGGGCTGGGCAGTGCGCCGTGACTCACGCCTGGCTCCTGCCTCTCGCCAGAGCGTGTGTGAGGTTCGCCCTCGTGACTGCGTGTGTCAGTCGTTCGTTTCTCTGTATTACTGAGATGCAGTCCGAGCATGGACCGCATTTTGTTAACGATTCACCCGCTAATGAACACTTAATGGCTTCTAATTTCGGCTCTGACAGTCACCTCGCCATGAATACTCATGTGCAGGTCTTTGTCCGGCCACGTGTTTTCATTTCTCCTGGGCAGTGGCCTCGGGGGAGAACTGCGGGGTCACAGGGTAAGTGTCTGGTTAACTGTTAAAGAGGTGACAGTGATGGCCGCCCCTCAGGGCACGTGCTCCCTGAGGGGCCCGGTGTGGAGCCGGCGGAAGCCGTGGGACTGGGCCCCCAGCGGAAGCCGGAGGAAGACAGGGTGGGAGGACTTTGAGATGGGCGTAAGAAGCTGTTTGACACAACCTTGGTTTTTTGTTTGTTTGTTTTTATATATTTTATTTATTTATTTTTTTTACAGAGAGGAAGGGAGAGGGACCGAGAGCTAGAAACATCGATGAGAGAGAAACATCGACCAGCTGCCTCCTGCACAACTCCCACTAGGGATGTGCCTGCAACCAAGGTACATGCCCTTGACTGGAATAGAACCCGGGACCCTTGAGTCCGCAGGCTGAAGCTCTATTCACTGAGCCAAACCGGTTTCGGCTCATGAGTTCTTTTTCTTTGCTGAGGCTGCCCATTCTCTCCCACGTCACTGGCTCTGGGGAGACAGCCCACCATGGGTGCAGAATATAATGCACCCTGAGTTCTCTGTGAGCTGGAACCACAGTCAGCCTGCAGGAGGCTGTTCTGCTGTTCTCTGAGGCAGCTGCTCCTGTTGGGTGGTGCATGGTGAGACCGGAGAATCCATTGCCCTCCTTCTTTTCCTATGGAGGGAGTTCCTTGGTCAAAAGCAGTGTGGCGGGATAGCTGTCATGCTGACAGTGTGCCTGCTTGGCTCCGGGGAAGGATGCCCCCTGGGTCTGTGCTATGGGAGAGGGGGGCTTTCAGCAGTGGTGGTAGCCAGGCCGGCCTTGGTGATGTGAGGTGCCTGTGGTTGAACCCACACAGGGCCTCAGTCCCTGCCACCACGGCCACTTTGTCCAAGAGTCCCGAGAGCATGGATTGGGGTGGATGGGGCTAGAGGATGCCTGGTGTGCACAAGGCACCTGTGCAGGGGGTCTTTGGGGCACAAATATTTTCCAACCTTAGGTCCATTCTGAGAGGTCCAGTCACATTCTCTCCACAAGCCACCTTGCTTTTATCCTTCGAACACATTCCTGCTAAGTCCCAAGCCTTGGATCATCCCTGCAAATCATTAGCTACTTGTCTGCAGTCTCTAGGATTCTCTGTTCCAGGTACAATGTTTGCAATGCCGTGTTCCAGGGGGAGAAACTCACCTAACGTCCTTCAGGGCTCCTCATGTGCAGGACAGGAGCCCCACAGCCATGGCCATCTGGCTGGGAGCTGCCTGAAACC